TAGTGTCAAAGAATACTTGTTTGAATTTGTATGTTTTTCAAATTAGGGTAGCACAGCACTTAGTGGTATGTGTATGTAGTAGTTGAATATACATGTTATTATTTTTTTCTTTCAATATATTAAGGTCAAACGCAACGTAGTTTGAACTTTATTGAGTTCTTCCCTGGAGCTGAAGAGTTCCACTAAATGAAGGACCTGTGTACAATACTTTTAATGCCTATATATGGATTTGTACACCTCTTCTAAAACAAATTTTGATGGAAAAAAATTTTGAATTAATGTTTTGTAATTTTTGTATATTTTTCTTTGTCAATAATGCAAAAATTTTCATAATTTAATATCTTCCAAAAACCCCTGGTAGTGCATGCTGATTTTTTGTCTATAAACATCTGATGACACTGTAATCTTAAATAAAGAATATCTTGAAAAATTACCAGTAGGTAAGGTACCTTGCGTATGTCCTTAATTAAGTAAATATCAGAACAATCAGATAATAGGGTAAGAAATAAAAACATTTTAAGAATAGTAATTGTGATACTGAGTATTCTTAAATTGCAGTACTAAGTAATAGAAAGTGCATATTGTTAAGTTCCACTAATTCACATTTTGTCACATAAATTGATTACAAAGTGCTATAGCCATTTATTTGAAACTTTATATACAAGTTCCAGTTCATATTTTTGCTGTATCTTTGACAGAAGAGAATCTCATTGTTTCATTGTGAGTATGTACATGTACACTGTATGCATGAATATTTTGATAGACTGTGTGCTATTTTACATTCCTGTAACCTTTTTGATACAAATATATATATTTTTTTTATGAAAGTGAATTAAAGTTTATATACATATTAAATATTTAATTATTTGTTTGTTCTCCATTTTTTCCTGTTTTAGCTCAATTTAACTGAAAGCTCAAGTGAGCTTTTCTTATCACCCGTTGTTGGTCACCCATCAGTCTAGCTATCCATCTGCCTGTAAACTTTTACACTTTCAACTTCTTCTGAAGGATCACCAGGCCAATTCTAACCAAAGTTGGTACTGAAGGACCAAGCCCCCTTGCAAGGGGAGATAATCAAGAAAAGACGAAAATGGGTTGGGTCATTAAAATTTTTTCTCAAGAACCACTGGGCAAGAAAATCAGAAAATTATATGGAAGCATCTTAGGGTAGTGTAGATTCAAAATTGTTCAAATGAAAGTCAGGGTGACCTAATTTTTCAATTTTGCCAGCATTTTGGACACTTAAAGGTATATAATCATCAGTTGGTAAAACTAAAATGAAGGTCGCCTTGACCTGCTTTTTGAATTGAATGGCTAATCTTTTCCAAAGAATTTAAGGTCATTATTTCAGATACAGTGAGGTTTAGAATCATTAAATCTTGTAAGTTGATGCACCTTGGGGCCAAAGATTATATTATCAAAAAGTAGGTCACAGTGACTTAGTTTTTGAATTTCACAGGTTTTATATTTCAGATTGTTTCAGATGCATATTCTGGAAACTTTAGAGCTATGAACTCAGATAGTTGATGCATCATTGGCCCTTTGAAATTGTTAACTGAAAAGTAGGTCACAGTGAGCTCTATTTGAAATTTTATTGTAAATTTAAAAATTTCAGTAAGTACTAATTTGCTTAGAATCATCAAACTGTGTCCATTGATGCACCTTGCATTCTTGAAAAACTTCAGCTGAAAAGTAGGTCACTATGACCTAAGTGTGAAATTTTAAGGCAATATTTAATTTAAAATATTTCAGGTACTAGTATTTATTGGCTTAAGTCATCAAACTTTGTCAGTCCATGTATCTTGGATCCTCAGAAAATGTCAACTGAAAAATAGGGCACTGTGATGACCTACTTTTGAAATCTTATGGCTGTATCTAAATATATCTGGAACCAATTGGCTTAGAATGATTAAACCTCGATCGTCAGTTGATTTCATTTTAGGTTTTTAGAATCTATTAAATGAAATGTAGGTCATGATGATTAACTTCTGGAATATTTTGCTTTGCTTGATCAAAATACCGGTATACAAGTTTAAGGGATCTGGGCACATATTTGAAGTTAATATTTTCTTAAAATTTTCAGTATAATATGATAACTCAATTGATCTGGGGAAAAAAATGACAAGCAAAAAAAGGTAAATTTGAAAATCCTATTAATTTCTCATTCAGGTGGAGGGGGCGTGTCCAGCTTCTTTCAATACCATTCATGAAGCTACATGTACTACATTACCCTTCTCCAACAAAAGGGGGCAGCCAGGCTTTCAGGGGTGACTGGAAATTCCAGAAGCCCCCCGTTTTTTGGAGAATACCCATACAGAAGGGTAGAAGCCCCAATAAAGTGGTAGAAGCCCCATAAAATTGAATGATTTAGGGTACATAAAACCCTATGGTGATGTTTAAATGACTTATATTGATATCCGTAAGCTTTTATAGCCAATCTTACCTCAGAGTCGACAGAAATCGGGCGCTATTACTGGTTTACCGTACACCACGCCCGATCTAAATTCGAAGCGAGCTGCTGTTTATCATCGTATATAAAATAATTTATTTTAATTTTAAAATGTTTTTTATGCAAGATATGTAGAAAATATTATGTAATACACATTTAAAAAACATTAAGGACGTTAGCCATTAAGATAATATGAATTTGTGTATTTTAATTCATATTATCCCAATGTTACCAGCTCTAGCCACGTGGAGGCTTTGTAGAGCCATAATTTAAGTTTTTAAGATTTTAGAGAAATTCTGAATTTAGAGTTAAAAACATATCCAAAAGCTTCACAGCAACAATAATAATAAAAAATAGTAATGATAATTAATTCATTAATAATTAGTTTTATGTTTCAAAGAGAACAAAAAAGAAAAATAAATAAATAAATAAATTTCAAAATATGAAAATACTGAATTTATTTGAGATTTTAGACAAATTATGAATTTAGAGATATAAAATTATGAAATTCAAAGGTCCAAAGCAACAATAATAATTAAAAATGAAAGTAATAATTACTTAAATGTTAAAATAAATCAGCCAAAATATGAAAACACTGAAACCTGGAAAGAAATTATTAAATTAATATCAATTTTCAAATATTAAGTTTCAAATACACTGTATATAAATAGTTTATTTCAAAGTATCCTTTCTAAGTTCTTTTCTTAGAAAAAAAAATCAGATTTTTTAAATATTTTACATCAGTTGTTTATGGAATGCCATATACGACAGTCAACTGCTTACTGCCAACTGCTGACTGCTTACTGCCAACTGTCAGCTGCTTACTGCCAACTGCCACATATATTTGAATAAATTTTATATTTATATCGATATTTATATGAATTTTCAAGAAGAAGAAGAAGAAAACAGGCGCGGATCCAGGGCATTTTCTCCAAGAGGTCACCCTGGTAAAATTAAATTGACCAAATGACCATTATGTTTTAATTGATGTAATATTCAATATATGCCATTGATAAAGTACATTGTTTATTTTTATTTTTATTTTCTTATTTGAAATAGGTAATAAAATGACTATTTTCTGCTTTTAATCTTATACAAATAAGATATGTTTTACATGCATAGATCTAGAGAGAGAGGGAGAGAGGTCCGGACCACCCTCGGAAATTTGTAGTTATTTAATGCACGAACTAAACCAACTAAAAGTTATTCAATGAAAAAATAAAAAAACATCTCCAAAATATCACTTTCTGAGAATTTCCATATTTCCTTCGTAGTGTGTTATTTATGTCAAAAACCGTAGAATTGTACTTTCCTGGATCCATGGTTCCACAAATCATTTGCCTAAACAGACTTCCAATAAATATTTTTTGAACCGCATCATTTCTTAACAGTTTTTCAATAATGTTTTGGATTCCTAACACTATTTCTGACACGGAAGATGAATTTATATCTTTTTCTCCCACTTGTAGAAACACTTTTGTTGGACAAAATTCAACTGCTCTTCCGAAAGATTGACTATAAATAAAGCTTTTTGTTGTAGTATCTATGTCACTAAAAAATTGAACGCAATAATTATTTGGCAACTTAAAATTCACAGAACCATTTGCTACACTATTCCCTAATTCTAGCACATGATTTTGCCCAATTACCGCAATTCTTTCTGAATAAGTAATAGATGGACCAGGTGACTGAGGAGATGTAGGGGTTTCTACAGAGGAAGCTGTTGTAGGACCTGTTGGGAGAGTAATTAAGGGAGCTGCTGAAGGACTCAGGGTGGGTACATGATGGCTTGTAGCTGGTGCAATTGACGGAGCTGAAGCAGGAGGAATTGATGAAGCTGCAGTAGGGATGGGTGCTGGAATTGACGAAGTGAATACTGTTTGGTGTTGTGTTAGGTTAGAACTTAAAGAAAAGTATTTATTTTTTTCTAGAGTAGGGTTAGTATCAGGCAGTATTCCTCCCCCGCCAGACGGGTGCAGACCAGTGAATACTGTTTGGTGTTGTGTTAGGTTAGAACTTAGCATAGGGTTAGTATCAGGCAGTATTCCTCCCCCGCCAGACGGGTGCTGACCAGTGAATACTGTTTGGTGTTGTGTTAGGTTAGAACTTAGAATAGGGTTAGTATCAGGCAGTATTCCTCCCCCGCCAGACGGGTGCTGACCAGTGAATACTGTTTGGTGTTGTGTTAGGTTAAGTTAGGTTAGGAACATAATTTTTTTTAAATGTTGCTAATTGAATTATAAATTCCTTTCTATTAATTTTTTTATAATTATTAATTTATTGTCAATTACTTTCATTTGGCTGTAATATGTTTTTACATGAACAAAAGATTGACTAGGAATAATGATAAAGTCTGTTTTTTTTAAAGATTTTTATTTTCTTTTTATCTTTCGGTCATCTTTCGGTCCTTTGGTTTTAATATTTTTCTGTTTCAAAATTCAAATCATGGCTCTACAATTAAGGAGGCCTCCACGTGGCTAGAGCTGGGAACATAGGGAAACTATGAATATTATTCAGGTATTACTAATTTAAAAGGTCTTTATTAATTTATCATTATTATTAGTATCAAAATTATCAAAATTCATATTTTCCTTATGTGTGTGCTAACGTCCTTAAAATGAAATTTGTATTTAAAACATATTACAAGTTCATATCACCAGTATGTAAAAAGAAGATCATATAATTACAAAATCATTTATTTTACTATTCAATAATGAAAGTCAAGAACAATTGAACATAGTTAATGATCAGTGTATATACACATGCCCTGTCTGAGGGGGGTTGGTCAGACTAGCTGAGAACAGGTGTTTGAACAAAAGGAGTTTATTGTCAACTAGACCAAGTGTCAACAGCTGTGTATGTACACACACACAGGGGTGCCTCTCTATCCCAGTACAAAACAACACAGCTAGCTGATGTGTAAATAATATTCTCACCATATTCTCATAATACCCACTTTACAAGTGTTTGCATATGCAATTATGCACATGTTATTAATTTTTATGAAACTTTTTTATTTCATAAACCTGGATTCTAATAATTTCATTCTAATGGATACATATTGCTTTCTAATATCAATGAATATAATTTTTTCTATTACATGCACACAAAAAAATTATTTAAAAAATACCTCCCCAAATAAAACAGAACCACAAAAAAACAAAACAAAACAAAAAAAAATACAGCAAATCTAAGTAACTGGAAAATAATAATGAATGCATGAATACTGAATTTCAAATTTAAATAAACATAGAGAGAAAAAATAAATAAATACCTTAGAAATTAAATAAATTAACTACTTGATTAATTACTTAAGTTATATATTATAAATGATTGGAATTTAAACTAAGGAAATTTATTATTTGATTAATTGACTAGTTAAATTAATTTAAAAAAACACAAAACAACAATCAATTAGTATTTTCACTGTAATGTATATCAACAGGTTATATCTCAATGTTTTTATGACTATTTTACAGTACACTTCAGCTATACAAATATTTTCATATTTTCCATAATGATTTTTGATATAAAATTCTTTTTAGTAGGTACAAACCAGTGTGGATAAAAGTATTCAAGTAGACAATGAAATATGTTCATAATTTAAATTTTATTTCATCTAGGAAATATGTAAATATTTAATGCTTCCTTTATATTCTTAACTTTCCTTTCATATATTTTTTTTAAATATAAAAATCATATATTATATTATTCACTTTTAATCAAGATTACGCTAATGATTTACTCGAAACGACTTCAGCGATCGCGATTTTAGATCGGGCGTGGTGTACAGTATATGAAGAAAAGAAGAAATGCCGCCCGATTTCTATCGACTCTGAGGTAAGATTGGCTATAAAAGTTTACGGATATCAATATCATTCATTTAAACATCACCTTAGGGTTTTATGTACCCTAAATCAATCAATTTTATGGGGCTTCTACCACTTTATTGGGGCTTCTACCCTTCTGTATGGGTATTCTTCAAAAAACGGGGGGCTTCTGGAATTTCCAGTTACCGGGCTTTCAGTGAAAAAATAAAGTTACGTCTGGTTAAAAAAAGGGGGTCGTGGAGCATTTGTCAATTTTTAAGAACCAGCTGAAATTGATCAAAATAATTCAAATATCAAAATTGAAATTTATTTTTAATTATTTTATTTATTCAATTTATTATTATTAAGTTATATATTTTTGTATTTTATTACTTTGGCTGTTCTTTTTCTACCATCCAGGCATCCACCTTTGCGAATTTCTACTTTTACCCTATGCTTAATCCGGATTAATATACTGCACGTTAAGGATTCGAAATTTAGACTCTGCTGATGACATGGTGGTGCAACTCCGGGTTAACGAAAGCAAAATATTTATTGGAATCTGGCCATATTCACTGAATTTCGACGATATTGCATCACGCATTTGAATGCATATTAAATATATGTAGAAAGGTACGGTGTAATTTTTCTCAGTTTTAAGAATGCATCTGTTGAGAGTAGGGGTTCATCTGTTTTACCAGACAAAGTTTCATTGGAGTCGAATAAACTATTCCTTCAAAAGAAATTTCATGACCTGATAATATAAGGCACATAATGGGATAAAAACGGATGGATTATTAATAACTGACCAGGAACCATTTGCGAGAAAAAGCGAATCTGAGATTAGTATTCCTCATTTCTTTGCCAACTGTTCAGTATCGGTGAGTTGGTTTATTGTGTACCGTCCCGTCATGTGTTTTCGTGGTATATACGTTTCCGTGGTATTTTTTATTTTTAGGAATAATACCACAATGCAAGTTCGGAATGACGTCATATTTGCTATTAATAAAGGGGAACCCTGTGCATTTTTTATGACCAAATGTTAAACCTTTTTGCCTTTGTCAAAATAAAATATAGCGAGTGAGTTATGCATAGTTCGAAAATTTGACAATTCGCGTAATATACGCTTATCCATCGTGTTTTGAACTAGAATATCAAACTTACAAACTAATAGCCAGCGATCCTGCATATCATCGTCTGTTAACTATCCATACAGCTTCCGGTCATGTGACAATAATTTGGAATTTCCCACTTTTGATTTTTTTTCTACGGTGATCTAGTAGCGTCATTTTTTATATAATTTTCAAAGAAAATATCGGGGGTGTTAAAAAGTTACATGCTAAAAAAAATATTATGCTATTGATAATTAATTGAATTAAACATTTTATTTCTTTAAGTATACATGGAATTACATGGAATTAATATTTTAAAACATGAAACATTAAAATAAAGATTTACAAAATTATTTCTAGGCCACTCATGAGAAAGAGAAGGCCACTCATGAGAAAGAGAAAATTTTTACATTATTTAGCAATACAGCTTACGCACGCCTAGATAGATGTGGTCTTAATTAACAACAAATAAATTTCCATGTCAAATAATGTAATCGTTTTGTCAATTAACTAGTATTTTTGACTCTGTAAAATTTATAAGGATTTTGCCCGACTAGATTTCCATAGTTTGCTTGTTTTATAAATACCACGAAAACATATGACGTCAGCAAAAAAATCGAAAGAGCAACTATGCAAGAATTTAATGACCTTCAGAACAAATAACAAATGATATGCGAGTTAAAATCATTTTAAAATAAGGAGAATTATTGTTTGTATATGTGATAAATAGCAAACATCTCAATTATTCAGTCTTGGAGCACTTTATTACAAATTTAACCGTAATGCCACGAAAACTCATGATCCGAGGGTAATTTTGTGCATTGTCTTGTTTTTCTCATGTATAAAACTGTAAAGTATATCATGATTACTACATGTATGCAGATTCCTGCATTGCATTACATCAGTGAGATCCTTATTTGACATATCGGCATATTTTTGTGAACATGCCAAACCATTTCGGAATCACAAAAGAAAGGTTTTTTTATACCCCCGCTTGAAAAGTGGAGGGTATATAGTAATCGCGATGTCCATCCATCCAGCTGTCTGTATGTATGTCCGTCCGTCTGTTACGCTTTTGGGTACCCATCTCTTAGGCCTAAAATAAAAATAGTCTTGTTTCTAGCTGCAGAACTGTAGCTCTCCGAAAAAATATATTGACAGACCGGAGAGCTACAGTGCCACCTATTGTAAAAACTGTATAAGTATTTATTGCGCACAAAAAATTGTGCTTAGTTCTGAATTAATTCTTCCAAATTCTTACTGTGAAAATTGTAAATGTGAATTGTGAAAAAGTTAGATTTTAAAAAATTCCTTACTCCTCTATGAAGTATTCTCGTAGTTAACATCTGCACAAAGTGCGTTGGACTGAAATTATTTTGTAAACAAAAATGGCAGTATAAATAGACGAAATTTACGATGATCTCAATTTCATGGCCAGGAGGGTTATTAACAACAATTATAAGGAATGTTTTGTTGTGCAAACAGTGAAAGAATATGTTAGGAACACACGGTTAGTAATATTTTGAAATGACAGTTTAAAAACGTGGAGAAATAAATTGAGAAATTGCACACTTTTTTGTGCGCAATAAATATACAGTTTTTTTCAATGGGTGGCACTGTAGCTCTCCGGTCTGTCAATACATTTTTTTCGGAGAGTACAGTTCTGCAACTATCTTGTTTCCTGCTACCCGACCTTCCTTATTTTTTTTGCACACGACCCTAAAGTTTTTATTTAGTTTTGGGGGGGAAATCGGAATTTTCATGATCCAAATGTGAAAAAAAATAAATGTTCAAGTGGTATTTCCTGAAATATAAGTTTATAATATGGATTTTAATAAAGCACTACTTATTTTAAACGATAATTATGACCTATGACATGCTTAATTTGGTTTTGTAACAGTTCATATCCAACAAATACCATTGGAAAAAAATAAAATGAAAAAATAAAATGATTTTCCTACCTACCTATTTTTTTAGGCTGGTAGCAGGAAACAAGACTATTATTCTTTTTGGCCTTATCCGCAACTTCCTCATACCACTGAGTGCAATTTGATGAGACTTACACAGAATCTTTATTACATATTGCCATTGTGCACATCTTGTTTTATTTTCTGATCCGACACATATTTTGGGTTTCCCATAGGAAAACATGGACACTGCCATTATATTCATATGGGAGGGGGATCATTTAGTGAGCTTTTTATGTATACACATGTTTGTTTATTGTAGATTTTTTTAAAGGATAATGCCAATAATAAATAAGCTTATGAAATAATGAATAAAAGTATTAAATGTGGCATTGAAATTTTATCTTACAGAGTAACTTGTACAGCTCAAGTGACTGACAGTTGAGGAGTAACAGATCTGTAAAATGGCAGCAAGGGTGGAGATGGAGAATGGGGAGAATCTATTCTCCCCGGAGGAAGAGAAAGATGTGGATATGTCTTCTGTTGTTGGCAAGGTGAGTTTGTTTGTTTTTGATGGCTCGTAGGTAAAATATTTCATTATTTTAAGGCCATCCTTAAAAAAAAATTTTTTTGCGGTAACGCGCCTCATCATTTTAGGTGTGGGTAGGTAGGTAGGCTTTTTTTTTTTTTTGGAGACAAAAAGTCAGAATTAAATTTCGATTATATAGAGGTATTAACTATGTCTTAGATTTCACTTTAAGTTACTAATCAAACAAGAAAATTAAGGCATTCTTAATGAATCCAATCTTTTATTGTTCAAATATCAGAACACATCAGTTCTTTTTTAAAAACGGTGTCTACAGGTGCAATGGGGACGTAAAAAAATGTCAATAGGATAAAATTAGAAAATGGATATGTAAAAAAAAAAAAAAAAAAATTTTTTTTGAACCCATAAAAAAAATCCAGTAGGGTGGATTTTGGTGAGTCGGTCGCGTTACCGCAAAAAAACAATTTTTTAAGGATGGCCTAATGGGCTGTTTTGAAAGCTTTTATTTTTCACTTATATGTGTGCAGGAAGTATTTGTGATATTTTCTTCTTTGAACAATAGTAGTATAATGTTCAATATTCCTAAAACAATTTACTAAATTAGTTCAGTACCACAAGGTCTACATTTAAAGTGGTAATTTAAGATATAATGACATGTATAATGACAGTATAAAACTTTTAAAGCCATTTTTATTTAATTGAAACTCTTTGTTAAAGGCACATTTAGTAAGTCCAAACAACGAGGAATATGACATCATTGTGGACACAATCAAAGAGAGACTTGATGAAGGCCAGGGAGAAACCATATATGAAATTGGCACAGGAGGTAAATTTAGTTAAAATAATAAGCAAAGCTGTACATTTTTGAATTATTACATCTGTTTACTTGGTGATATACTTCTGTTTATAGGATAGAGTGTTGCATTCATAGTACACTTTGACGAAATTGCTAACACACCACTCAATATTTTCATCTGTAAATGCAACCTCTGCCTCAGCAACACATACTCTTATATGCTGTGTTGCCCACTGAGGTCAAAATTTCTGATGTCTTGATTTTTAAATACAACACACTGAAATGACCATCTTGCCCTTAAACCAATGTCCAATTACAAATTTTGTTGCCAGCTATGTTTAGGGTAGTGGGACATTTACTGCAATTAATTTAAAACATTTACAAATTCAGATTAATTTATGCTTAAAAATTTTCTTTAATTGCAAGATATTTTATTCACTACTTGAATCAATAATGGTTCTTTAAACCTTCATTTTTTTAAGTTAGTAAAATGGCATTTACTAAATGTTCCATTTATTCACTCAGTAGATGTATCATGTAGTGACAGGAAGGCAGTAACAATAAGACTTTTAATGGCATCAGTTAAAATCAGATTTTGATAATTTTATTTTATAAGTCAACCATTTACTTATTCAGGAGATCTGTCTTTGTCTGAAATCTTAAGTGAATGTTTACGCTTTGATTTCCATTTAACTGACTTGATTCGTGACTTACAGAGGGGGATTCTCCGGGCCTCTCACCAGAAGACATGCAGGCATCCATAGCTACACTGAAAAGTATAGCAGAATCTCTACACCTAGAAATGGTGCAGCTACGTGAGAGAAAAGAAGGCGAGGGGCTAGTGACAGAGTATTTACTGAGAAAGACACTAGATAATGATGACTTCATGGAAGTCAGGTAAGAGTTGTTTCCCTTGACAATCTCAATAAAGAGCAAACAATGAAGACAAGACATCATTCAGTTGCTTGTAGTGCAGAGTTATTTCCATAATATGTGCTGTTATTTTTATGGCAAATGAAAAACACAGCAAACAGTTTGTGAATGTAGGAACCACATAAATTGCAAATTATAAAGGGGGTACCGTTTTATTATTAATTTGCAACAAACTAATGTGCCATCTTGGTAGAATGTGAATCTTATGTATGTATTATCTCTGGTCCTACTTGGTGATTCAGAAATCTTAATTAATATGATTTTCACATTTGTATTCTTTCTAACATTTATTGCCAGGATTTGATTAATGTACATTCTCCATATTTACATTTGTCTTATAGGGTTGCAGTTGTTGGCAATGTAGATGCAGGAAAAAGTACATTACTGGGCGTTTTGACTCATGGTGACCTTGACAATGGGCGTGGCATGGCCAGACAGAGGCTCTTTCGACACAAACATGAGATGGAGTCTGGGCGTACCAGCAGTGTAGGCAATGATATTCTGGGCTTTGATGCAGCTGGACATGTTGTAAACAAACCTGACCATGGAAACCTAGACTGGATCAAAATTTGTGAAAAGTCATCTAAGGTAATAATGCTTCATAAAATAGCTCTGTTATATTGAACTGTAAACTATAAAATCAAGCAGTCCAGTAAAAATGAATGCACAAATTTGTATTGAATTCAACTTTTTAAATTATATTCAACATTGACATCTTTTTAGAATTATATCTATTATATTATCAGGATTATTGTACTAAGAATAATGCTAGTGATGTAATAAAGGTAGCACACATAATAAATTTCTTTATGAAATTATGATTGAAGCTCACGATGCTAATTACTTTACAGGTAATCACATTTATTGATCTGGCGGGTCATGAAAAGTATCTGAAGACCACAGTGTTTGGGATGACAGGACATGCACCAGACTTTGCCATGTTGATGGTTAGTATGTTTAGGAGTGCTTGAATCGTTGCATTATATTTGTAATGAAGAAATTTTTTTCTGAGTGTACATAAATTGATAGCTGTACTGATTTCTGCCGGATGACTTGCAGGTTGGATCCAATGCTGGTGTGATAGGAATGACCAAGGAGCACCTGGGTCTGGCTTTGGCCCTGAACGTCCCTGTATTTGTTGTTGTGACAAAAATAGACATGTGTCCCCCCAATGTGCTACAAGAAACATTAAAAATGTTACAGAGGATTCTCAAGTCCCCAGGGTGTAGGAAGATCCCCGTTATTGTACAAAACACAGATGATGTTGTGTGTTCAGCAACTAATTTCACATCTGAAAGGTATGTAATGAAGAGAAATGTTATTTTTAGGGCCCCGCAAGGATTTGCGGGTGCCCTATAGTAATCACTCTGTCTGTCCGTCTGTCACTCTTCCGTCCACAAATTTTCTGTTTTTTTCCAATAACTTTTTTTATGGTTGCCCTATCAAGTTCAAATTTGGTATGGTAGTTCAGTAGGCAGAAATACATATTTTGATGCTAAGTTTGGTTCTCTATGTCTTCTGGTTTGGAGCTGGGGTGGTGGGGTAGATTACTTAACTATGCATAAGAATGAATGGGCAACTTTTTTTATGGTTGCCCAATCAAGTTCAAATTTGGTATGGTAGTTCAGTAGGCAGAAAGACATATTTTGATGCTAAGTTTGGTTCTCTATGTCCCCTGGTTTGGAGCTGGGGTGGTGGGGTAGATTCCTTTACTTTATATAAGAATGCATTGGCAAAGAGAGATAACTGCTGAAGATGTTCCCATTGTAAATTGAATGCTGCTATGAGTCCCTTGGGATTAATTAGCTTTCCTCCTGAAGAAAATCCAGAGCATTACATTGAGATGAATTACCGCAAATGAAGTTTGTTTTGAAGTTAAGTCAATTTGGAATGCTATGAACACTCTGAAATGTGGATTTAAATGTAAATTTTTATAATATATTTTTGTTAGATAGTTATGATTTCATTGAATTCTAAAAACAAGAAATAGATTAAAGAAGATTTTTTGATTTATTTTTTTTTTACTTTATGTTAATTCAAGAATATTATTAATTTTTAAGGTATTTGTATAAAAAACCCATTCTATCATTAATACTGAAAACGTTCTTATTGTAACTTTAGAAGAAAATGATTAGAGAGGTACAATTAATCCCTTGGGATTAATTATCTAGCCTGCCGCAGAAAATTTAATAGGCTTTTCTTTATCTGTCACTTTAAGATTAATGAAAATCTTTGTCTGCAACTGCTGTTTGTTTGAAGTTATATTTGCATTCATTGAAGGCTGGCATTTTTATAAGATAAGTTTCATAATTGTGTAAATAAAAATTGTGTAAAAATGTTAAGTTTTTCTTTATTGCCTAATGTAAATACAAGGATATTATTTTCAGGTTTTTGAATATTCAGGAATTATCTTAAAATTTTAAGAATACAGTTGCTGTTGCTTATTCTTCGTACATTTTTTAATCATTCCGTAAGCTGCACCCTTATAATTCTACCCCATGGCGGGGCCCTTGCTGACTGGTCAGTTTTCTAGTTCTTGGATATACAATGCTTTAGTATGCATTTCTATTGAGACAAAGGTATAAATCCAGTTTAGTTTTAATTAAATGATGAAGAGGCAGATAGACAAATAAGATTGTATGACCTAAGGACAAAAATGAAGAACTGTTTTGGTATCTATACAAACTCCGCCTCTGTGTAATAATTTGTAGTGTATTAATTTTCTTTAGAATTTCATCACTTTCCAAATAAAACATTTACATTTTCCTAAAAATTTTTTTTTTAATTTCAGAATGTGTCCAATATTTCAAGTGTCAAACGTAACAGGAGAAAACCTTGATTTATTAAAAATGTTCCTTAATCTCTTATCGACACGGTTAAAATCGGAGATCTCAGCACCAGCAGAATTCCAGATAGATGACACATTCTCAGTACCGGTGGGTAAATTCTAGACTTACCAAAATTAAGAATTTAGACATATAATACACATGAACTGTACTGTATACCGGGTATTTTATAATTTATGTGTCAAAATGATTTAACTGCATATAAATGCTGTAGGGGAATTTTTTCTTATGAAAATCTGATATTGAATTGAATTATCCCATTATGAGAGAATACCCTCTATAGGCAGTGCAGAAATACTTCCCTTAATTTTAACCTGTCATGAAGAAATATCTATAGTATATTTCAAAGCAAATACAAAATTACATTTATGTTTTTTTCTCATTATAATAAGTTTAAGTGATAAAGAAATCTAATTTCTTGACTTTGTAACAGGGTGTTGGAACCGTTGTATCAGGGACTCTACTTCAGGGCATGATTAAACTGAATGACACGTTACTACTGGGACCCGATGCCCTCGGACATTTCCAGCCAATCACTGTCAAGAGCATTCATCGTAAACGTATGCCTGTACGAGAGGTCAAGGGAGGTCAAACAGCATCATTCTCACTCAAAAAGGTAAGAATTAATCATCAGAAATTTGATCAGAAAAAATATTTTAAAGTTTTTTTTTAAGTAACAGTGAAACATGTCTTATCTGACATACACCTGTACATATATCAAAATTTTTTTTGATCAGAATAGACAGGTGCTGTATTGCACAGTTGTATAAAGAAAAATTCAGTGAAATAGTTAGATTTTACAGTGAGATGGATTGCAGGGTGTCAAAATCAACAGATTTTACTGTATTGATTGCTGTGCTGACTAAAAAAATATGGTGACAGAATTTCATAAAAATTGTTGAAGAATGATTAAACATATTTTATATTGTGTTTTGTCAAGGTTAAAAGGTCATCAATACGAAAAGGAATGGTGATGGTTTCTCAGAAACTAGAGCCAAAGGCCTGCTGGGAGTTTGAAGGAGAAATTTTGGTTCTACATCATCCAACAACAATAAGTGTGCGGTACCAGGCTATGGGTAAGATTTTACCTCTAGGTTCTGATTACAGTATCAAATTCCTGCCTTTGACTAGTAACCTGAAAACAGGGTGACTAGGAAATTTTGGGGGTCTTATTCTTTATAAACTTTGAAAAACTTGACTGCAAAGCTCACTAAATTTATACAATGTAGTAAGCTCCCATTGACTTTATAGAATGCTAGAAAATTATATCCTAGTGAGCATGAATGGGTAGCATTACCATGACCAACCAGAAAATTATTTCGTTCTTAAACATTTTTACTTTATTTTGTCAAGCTTTTTCATTTTTTGTCAAATTTCATTTACAGTACATGTGGGAAGTGTTCGCCAAACAGCCACCATAATGAACATGACCAAAGAACACTTACGAACGGGTGATAAGTCAATAGTAAGGTTCCGCTTCATTAAGAATCCTGAGTATTTAAAGACTGACATGCGTATGGTGTTTAGAGAGGGAAGAACAAAGGCCATTGGCAACATAACAAAACTCTATCCACATGTCAGTGCAGTAGCTCAGAACACGCGACAACAGCGGGCAGCCAAGAAAGCGCAGGAGGCAAACCACCAGGTCCATCCACAAAACGAACCGCAGAAACCCAGTAAAAAACGCAGAACGCGGAACAGCAGCAAAAACCTAGACATGGAGGAATCCAAAGAAAACGTTCCATCATCAAGTTCAGTCCAGGAAGTGACAGTTCAGTCGTGAATCAAAACTGAGTGGGTATTCATGGTATTCTCTTACGTCAAGTTTCTGTATGGCAGTTAGCATACCTGAAAATATCAGGATTTCCAATTTCATGTTTGCTTGTGACTTATAGCATTCATTAAGTTTTGCAGCCAAAAACATCTTATTAAGTGAGACTTGCAGCTAATTTAATAAGCATTGATTTTTAGATTTACTTATCAAGTCAAATTTTTACATGTGAATGCTGCGAAGATTTTTAAATTCATCAATATATTTAGAGTTATTTTTAAAGAAAGTTTTGGGTGAAATAATTTGAAACACTGAATGTACCTATGAGTTGTTAACAGCAGTATTTCAATATCTTAGAAAGTGGTCACAGACATATAATTTCACTCTGGATTGCAAGCAAGGTTCTAGAACTATTCTAGTGCATGTATTAAATGAAAATATTCTTGTGTGAAATTACCTAAAACATATAGCAGAGGATAAACAAAGAACATAATTAATTACCTGGAACAAATAGAATGTACACTTTTCAATTTTAAATGTCAATGTTTTTTTAAGAAATCTTATTTTAAAAAGATGACTGAATTGAATTTTTCTCAATTTTTACTGGGTTTGTTAATTAAAAGATAAATCTATCGTGTGTTATGTTATGAGTAAAACTTGACATATTGATGTAAAAAGTTGCTTAATTTTATCAAATTTGAGGAAAATGTCAGTCTAAAAACTTATTGACTGCTATAATCTTTGGGACAGAGTAACAACATGAACAATAAGAAATTGTCACAGCAGATTGGTTTTTATGACTTAGAGCATGTAGAACTACTTTTGATGCATGTGGGGGCAAGACAAACTTTGTCAATTTTACATTTAGATATTGTACATCACTATTTTTGCAGCATGAGAGGGCTATTTGGTATTTATAAATGAGACAAAATTTTCTCAAGCTAAGGTTTTTGTTTTATATAATTCTTGCCACTGGGTAATGCAATTATACACAAGATTATAATTTTCGTGAGCAGACACTGCAGATCAATCAACCCCACTGCTTGCTCTTTGTCATGACTGGGAAACAGAAAAATCTGTAGAAAATATAAGTGAGTAAATAATGGTTGATAATTAACATGCAAAATGTCAGCATTTGACTTCATGATCATGATGATAGATTGTATTTGTTGACAAGATCAGAGTTTGCAAATGCTGAATTTAAATTAGACTGTTAATATCCTTGTTTCATCAACTTGATTGTCAATAGCTTGCCTCATTTATAAAAAATTGTAATTATATAGACCTTGCTCTTGAATATTGAATATACCAGAAGACATAAACTCCATATGCAGGAGATAAGGGAATATTACTACATAAATGAGGGAAGTTAATAATAGTCATTTTGTTTATAATTAAAAAGTTTTGTATGTTACCATTAACATCTTTTTCTAATGAAATACTCTAAATTACTATTTGTGTGTGAGAACTTTATGCAAAAATATCTGCTCTATGAGTAATCCTCCATGGTGCTATCATTCCCACCGCTGATGTTTTAGAGGTCATTGAAGTACATGTACCTTTATGTTGTATGGGTTCAGAAACCTTTTCAACCATAATTGGGGGGGGGGGGGGCACAATTTTCCATGGAAATATAACATTTTAAAAAAAAAATCTTTAATAGATTACTGTCCCTTGGAAGAATTTTTCACTCATATAAGTTGAAAAGCTTCAAATGTAGGCCTGTACACAGGACTTTGTGTAGTGAGATTTCGTTATTGTGCAATGCCTACCATGGCATAGGACCTTAGTTTTTAAGGTCTCATCTAAAAGACCCTTGACTTTCACTTCCAGTGGTTGACATTAGGCAAAAAAATCACTACATGTAACTATTCAATGTCTCAGGTTTGACATAGTATGGGAACAAAAATTACACCCAAATCCTCCTGATCATAGCCAGGACCTAACACTAGGCTACCTCAACAGATTTTAAAGATCAGAGGGAAAAATAAGCAAGGCTCAAGTTACTTAGGTGAGCCTTGAGGCCCTTTAACCTCTTGTGAAATTTCTTTTCAATTTCACTCCGAGTTTGACCTGGGCTCAGTTCCAACAAGAGGCCAGTGGGCCACATCTCTCACCTGAGTAACTTTGGTGATGCTGTTCTTTACCAGATTTCCCCCTCGTAATATCTATTGTGGCCCCACCCTAACTAAAGTACTGGTAGTTGAAAGCTCATGTCCATTTGTCTGTCTGATCATCCGTCAATAAACTTTTTGCTTAACACCTATTGTGGCCCCACCCAACTAAAGTAGCTGAAAGCTCATGTCCATTTGTTTGTCTGACTGTAACTCTATAAACTTTTCACATTTTCAACTTCTTCTCAAGAACCACTGGGCCAATTTTAACAAAACTTGGTACAAAGCATCCTTGAACGGGAATTTCAGTTTTTCAAATGAAAGGTCAAGCCCCTTTACAAGGAGAGATTATCAAGAAAAGAGGGTGGGGTCATTAAAAAATCTCAAGAATCATTGGGTGAGAAAAGATGAAACTTATGTTAAAGCATCTTGGGTAGTGTAGATTCTAAATTGTTCAAATCATGACACCCTGGGGTAGGGCGGGGCCACAATAGGGAATCCAAGTTTTACATAGAAATATTGAAATGGTTTGGGCCGTGGATATTGGCCTGGATAGCTCAGTTGGTAGAGCACCTGACTAGAGATGCAGGGCTCCCGGGTTCGATTCCTGATCCAGCTGTACATTTTCTCCCTCATGTTACAATATATAGGTAAAATCTTTAAAAATCTTCTCACTGGGCCAGTAAACCTGAAAATGAAAAGGAAGCATTCTGGGATAGTGTAGATTCTAAATTGTCCAAATTATGACCCCTGGGATAGGGTGGGGCCACAAAGGGTATTGCTAAGGATGAAGATAGCATGGCCAGTCTCTCAGGTGAGTGTTATAGCCCATGGGCCTCTCATTTTAAGTTCTGTTCACGTCTTGCACATGAGCAGTAACAAATGCAGTGTTCAGTTCCTTTAGTTTTCTACTTATGGTTATGTTAACTGCATTGTTACATGCAAGATTCTTACAAAAACAGCTATTATATAACAAATACCGGTAATAAGTTATTATATTTTAAAATTTTTTATTCTGTACATTATGATGTGTTGGATGTAAAAAAACAAAAGCAAACATGTAAATTAAAGACTTCCACATCTAATTAAAGTCTATACAATAATCCATTTTCTTACGAAAGAGATCTGTTTATTACAAAAAAAAAAACACCACCATTCATTCATCAGCAAGTAAATTTGTAAATGAGCTTATATTGCCAGCAAAAGTCCACACTGTTTTAAAACACTCACATTTCATGAATGTTAATTGTTATCTGAGTATCTAAATCAACCACTCACATATACACAAAAGTTAATTTCCACATGATCACATTTGCACAACAACAAGACATTTTGCATATTAAAGTAAATTTTCTGAAATATATACAAGATTGCGTTGATTGGTAAAGATTTGTTCAACAAATGTAAGTTTTTATACAATGAAAAACCCGGCACTAACCATGCCCTAGATCAGAGCACATCTAAGAGAACTATACACTGTTAACATAACAGCCATTGGTTGTAAAAATAGTCAATTCTTCACTCTCTGAATTCCAGCAGAGTTTTCTCAAACACATCAAAAAATATGTCAGCATGATGCTTCTCAAAAATCAGAGTGGGACGGAATCGCATGGATCTGTCTCCGCAGGCTCCAGCATGAACACCTATAAAACATAAAATGGGTTATTAGAAAAATAACAGAAGGTCTGCTCCTTTTCAGAACTGCATCCCAAATAACCTGTTAAGAAATCAGAATTTTTAAAGATTATTAGAAATTTTCTCCAGCATGCACGATAGGTAGTTTATTTATTGATCACCTATACAATATCATGCAATTCTAGTCCCTTGTTATGAAAGTAAGAACAAATTTACCTCTGTTTCTTAGTTTCATAATGACGCTGTCTCGGAATCCTGCATCAGGAAAGTCTACGGAGCAGAATGTCCCCAGACCTCTCACGTTAAAAACACTGTGAGGGAATTTTTTCTGTAAAAAAATGGTATTACAACAAAAATTAAATAATTTGTATGACAAAACTTCAACAACAACAACAAAAAACCCTACCAGGGTAAATGTATTAAAAACAAGAGGCCCATGGGCCACATCGCTCACCTGAGAAGCTTTGACCATTCTGTTCTTTACCAGATTTCCCCCTTGTTATACATAATGCATACCCACCCTACCCCACTGATCATAATTTAGACATTTTGAAATCTACACTACCCAATGATCCTTCCATGGGCACATATGTTTCAGCTTTTTTGGCCCAGTGGTTCCCGAGAACAAGATTTTCAAAGATTTTTCCTATATATTTCTATGTAAACCTTTGATTCCCTATAATGGCCCCGCCCTTCCCCCGGGGGTCATGATTCCTACAATTTAGAATTTACACTACCCCAGAATGCTTCCACATAAGCTTCACTTTTTCTGGCCCAGTGGTTCTTGAGTAGAAGATTTTCAAAGAATTTTCCTATATATTTCTATATAAAACTTTGATTCCCCATTGTGGCCCTGCCCTTCCCCCGGGGGTCATTATTTGTACAATTAAGAATCTACATTATACCAGGATGCTTCCACATAAGTTTCAGCTTTTTTGGCCCAGTGGTTCCTGAGAAGAAGATTTTCAAAGATTTTTCCTATATATTTCTATGTAAAACTTTGATTCCCTATAATGGCCCCGCCCTTCCCCCGGGGGTCATGATTCCTATAATTTAGAATTTACAATACCCCAGAATGCTTCCACATAAGTTTCAGCTTTTCTGGCCCAGTGGTTCTTGAGAAGAAGATTTTCAAAGAATTTTCCTATATATTTCTATATAAAACTTTGATTCCCCATTGTGGCCCCGCCCTTCCCCTGGGGGTCATTATTTCAACAATTTAGAATCTACATTATACCAGGATGCTTCCACATAAGTTTCAGCTTTTCTGGCCCAGTGGTTCTTGAGAAGAAGATTTTCAAAGAATTTTCCTATATATTTCTATATAAAACTTTGATTCCCCATTGTGGCCCCGCCCTTCCCCCGGGGGTCATGATTTGAACAATTTAGAATCTACACTACCCCAGGATGCATCCACATAAGTTTCAGCTTTACTGGCCCAGTGGTTCTTGAGAAGAAGATTTTTTAATGACCCAACCCTATTTTTGTCTTTTCTTGATTATCTCCCCTTGCGAGGGGATATGTCCCTTCATTTTAACAATTTAAATTCCCCTTCACCCAAGGATGCTTTGTACCAAGTTTGGTCAAAATTGGCCCAGTGGTTCTTGAGAAGAAGTCGAAAATGTGAAAAGTTTACAGACGGACAGACAGACGGACAGACAGACAGACAGACAGACAGACGGACAGACGACGGACAAAATGTGATCAGAAAAGCTCACTTGAGCCTTTGGCTCAGGTGAGCTAAAAATGATATGTCTGCAAGTTCTCTCCCTTATATACCTCCATTTCGTGGAGTCCATCCTGGAGATATTTGCCGGTCTCCTTGACATTGTCCAGCAGATTGTACTTCTTAATTGTGTTAATTACAGCCTCCAGCAGCAGAACCTTGGAGGAGTCACCCACCCAGGTGTTAAAGATGCGGAAAGCCTAAAACAACCAACTCAAATATATAGCTTGAATCTGAGAATTTTTACAGGGCTTTTCCTAAGAATTCTGAATGTTAAACTTCCAAGAAAATTAAATAAATACAAGCTGTATCAAAATTCCTTTTAAAATGATTTATTTATTAAGAAAATGAAAATATCCCTAAACATACCTCTTTTGGTCTGAGATCTTCTTTGTAGTAAAAGCCTCCAGTCAACATTTTCTTGCTGAAGGCCACAATATCGGGGGCCTCAGGGAGGTCAAAGTGTTCGTGTGCCCAGAATTTCCCTGTGGACCCACAGCCTGTCTGGACCTCATCCATCAACAATACTACTTCATTCTAAAAATAAGTGGCTTAATTCAATCGTGTTCTGGTAGGGATACAGATGTATTATACCTAGTAGTTCAAGATTTTTTTTTAAATTTGATACATGTAATGAAATATAATTTTTAAACTAGAGGTACTGTGAGCAATAAAGCAGATAACTGAAAGACAGAAGAATGGATATCCTTAACACTATGTACCCCCTGCTTTTCAAGGGGAGCTCTACAATTTTACCCTAAACTTTGCAGTACCTCTTTGCAAATCTTTTGAAGCACCTGGAAAAATCTAGGAGAAGCAAAGTTGTCTCCCCCTTCTGCCTGAATGGGTTCAATACAACAGCCTACAACAGGGCGCCCTCTCTTATTGTACTCAGCAATTCTCTCTCGCACCTAACAAAGAAATAAAGTCAAATTGTATGGAACAATACATACGAAGGATCAAAATGTAAGGAAAAGTTTTTTTTTCATTTAACCAGTCAAAATACATTCTTTCAACATTTTCGCAGAATTATATAAAATATAAAATAAACGCCAACACTTTTGCATTTTTTTCTAAAACCTCACTCTGATATCCAAGGTAAAATGTATTATGTGCCAGGACTGTTGCCATCTAAATTTTCTGAGATTCTATACTGCCTCATGTACTAAGTTACAATCAATATACCTCGTCCAGACTGCGATTCTCTATCTCCATATTTTCTCTTTCATTTTCATGCAGAGGATACTTCAGTTTGGGAAAGGTTGCCATTGGCCAGTCAGGAGTGGGGAAGTCCAGTTTATGGATCCATTTGGAGTGGGTTATTCCAAGAGCACCTGTTATAAATTAGAAGAAAAATTAATTCACTGACTGCAGCATTTTAGAATTTGTGTGATCTCTGAAGCAGATTATGATGTCCTCAATTATTAAATTTTCAATATTCAATTGCACAAAGAAAGAAATATACAACATGATCTACATATTTCTTTTACAAAAACAGCCAACACTCTTCACTAGACAGACAGATGGTTAAACTCGGGAGAGAAAAGGAATTGGACTGTCACAGCATGGAGGTTAATTCTCGTGACATGGAGACAGGCCAAAAAATTCTGCAGTTGAACTGTCCACTAGTTAGGCACTGTCAAATCCTACGCTCCACAAGAAAGTAAATACTTAGTAAGGTGTCAGAAACATATTGTAAACCAACTTTTATTTGCAACTTCTATTTTATCAAAAGCAAATAAAAGTTGGTTTAAAGTCACCATTTAACTAGAGCTTATAAGCACAAACATTCCACGGATCATACGCAATAATACAGAAATTCAATTGGTAAACCGAAGTATAAGAAGTATGTCAGGGAACCAAATTTCAACAAGATAATAGTATACTAACCCATAGTTCTCCCATGAAAAGCCCCTGAGAAGGAGAGAACAGTAAGGTCTGGACATCCCGGTTCCTTGTTGTACAGACAGGAAGTTAGTTCTTCCTGTGAAGGAGGCAACCCTCCCCTCTTTTTTCTCTATTAAACATAGAAGTAAATGTAGTCAACAATAAGTTGAAATGAATGGTGATAAAGTTATTATTAAGCTTTGAACATTTGTTACCAAAAAAAATCTTCGTAAAAAAAAAAACCTGAATAATAGAACATTAACTCAAAATTCTTTCCCTCTATTGTTTGGTATTGAAATTTTTCACCAAATCTCGAAATTAAAAAAAAAATCAACCTTCCAGTTAAAATTAAACTTACTTGGTGTGTGATAAACATTGCTTTTTGTCCATGTTCAATTGAGCATGCTCCACAGGCCATGGTCTGCACCTGATGCATTCCAGGTGGAGCCACCTTCAAGGGGAGATAATTGAGTTAACATATCTTGCTTCTCTGCAATAACTTTATGGACTATGTACCACTGAAGAAAACTTACAGAGAGCAGGGCATTTTTGAGGTGCCGAACCCAGTCCTTGGGTGGAAAAACAGCAAGTGCTGGTCTGTTTATGAAGGTACTCTAAATGAAAAAAATGAAGAGATTATCATAATTACTTCCAGCAGAAATAACCTCATAATTTTCAAAAAAAATTTGTTTGTACTCCTTCCAACACCTATATCTACTATCATGCAAGCATATTCCCACAACTACTATCTAGAGTGTTACTTTTGATTCACAAAAACCATGCATAGCATCTCCTCTGATATGCCAGCTTACTTCGTTTGTGACTTCTGAATGTAAGAAACCTAGGAAAACCATTTAAATCATACTAAAAAAATCTAATAAAAAGACATAACGTTATGTGAGACTATCTTACCAGGTTCTCTGGTTGACTCAAGACCTGCAGCAGATTGGGATGATTGTATCCTGCAATAATGTAACAAATGCATAAAACATACAGCATGGTGTTCTGTAATAACATTCTTTCCAGGAAAAAAATTGGTTGCAAGCAAATGGATATACATTGTAATTTTCGTTCTATTTTTTTTGCCTCACTTTTGCAAGAAACAAGAATCTAATGGACCAAAATGCTCTCTCACGCTTGCTTAGCTATTATTTTAAAGCCCTAAACTACCAATAGGATAGATTACCATTGTTCTACTGATTTGGATAGAAGGTAATTGTGACCATCGACCCGATATGGGGTCCACTTTGAAGGGTACAATACCCTACTGCTCAATGCTCATTGGCCTTATCAATTGGTCACAAAGTAACTTTTGGCAAAGTAACTGTCCTTGAATGTCATTGTCAAGGGATTATTTTGATATGATGCCTTTTTCAGTCTTTATTACAGAAGCATGTGCTTTATCTATATACATCCAAGATTGGGTCTCCTAGCTGTTTGTCCCAGCCTTACATCCTAATTCTATATCTATTAACTCCCATGCTGAAAATTAAAAATGAGATATGGCTTTGTTCTTGATGAAACTTGTGATTATTTGATATACAAGTACTTAAGACTGTTCAACCAGAGTCATGGCATGGTAGTTTTAATTAGTGTGGCAACTTCATTGTCTTTCGGGATGAATTCTTTGAAATGGACTATGGCGGTTATCTTAGCATTGAAGCCCTGATCAACCTACCAATTGGAATGGACTAAGGCTGTATCAATATATCGATAAATATCGATATTCAAGAAAAATATCGTATCAAAAAGTAACTTCCAATACGTATCGAACAGACATTTTTTCTTCAAATTCTGTTTAAAAGATGGGAATTTCAATCACCAAAGATTATACTTTACTTTTCTGAATTAAAACTATCAATAATTATTTAATTTCTAAGGAAATAAAAAAGTTTTTATAATTATTACAAAATACATAGAAAAAAATTTTTGAACATGTTGATTTTACTGTCATCAGAAGTTTTAATTGAAGTGTTATTTTTAAAGACAATGAGACAAGTACTTTAAAATGGGTAATAAAACACTTAATTGTTATGAAATGTATGCATTAAAATGATTTAGAAGCCTTTTCTGATGGACTTGTTTCAGAATCCAATATATCGCATATCGCTTTAAAAAATATTGTATCGTATCGTATCGAAATTTTTGGCTCAATACACAGCCCTAGAATGGACTATAGTGGTTATATTAGCACTGAAGCCCTGATCAACCTACCAATTGGAATGGACTATAGCGGTTATCTTAGAATTGAAACCTTGATCAACCTACCAATTGGAATGGAGGCAATCTGTGTAAAGAGATCCAATAAAACATTGCCATCCACATCTGTGATGTAGTTTCCTTGGCTCTTCGCATAATCCACAAAGAACTGGACCGATCCAGCATTCTGAAATCAATATACATGTACAATATAACTGCAGGTCTGTAGAATGAGACATTGGCTGGTCCCAAATCGATAAGGGTCTTGGCAATTTTATTTAAAAAGTCTTAATTTTAAAGGTGTTGTAAAGTCAGCATTATATAAATTAAACTTTTTTTCCTGGGCATAAAAAAGTTCAATCAGCTTCCATAATGATTTAAAAGATTTTTTTTATGAACAAAGTATTAAAATTGTAAAATAAAAGGTGATTTTATTTTGAATTACACTGAGCACTACACTGTATATATAAAGCAGCAAATTTGTCATAGAACATGCAGTGTGTTGTTATCAGTCAGACACTTTTGCATTAAATTAACTAATTAAAAATTTCTTAAAAACAAAATGAACTTTATATTCCTGTACCTTGATGCAAATGTAGATATTTCTTTCAAAATATGTAAAATTAATGTAAAAATATGGAAACGAGATTCAGAAGGTAAAAAGTCCCTTCAGGCCCCAAAGAGCAAAAATGAATATATTAGATAAATAGAGCATATGAACTTAAGCTTTCTGAAAGCTTGGTTGAATACTCATCACTGCAGACCTATAATAACAGGCAAATATGAAAATCTACATAATATTCTTACTTATGTTGACCGGCAAGATTATTATATATTGCAAATCAGAAATATGCTTCAGGTAAGCTTAATATTTGCTTTGCTTAGTTACCCTTTGTCTTGGTTAATCATTGCTTCTGTAATTTCTGCAATGTTGGGATAAGAACATTCCCTATAGTTGCATCATTTTTTCTTATCATTCATAACCTTTAAAGCCAATGCTGTTGGCATCAGTTGTACATTCAATGACTGATACAATTAACCAAGATACCTTTCTCGTATATTCCTACCTCAAGCTATACATAGTTCAGTGTCAGAAAAAAGGTCTTTTCTTAGTACATTGTTCAGTGTAAACAAAAAAAATATGAACAAAAAAAACATTTGCAATATATCTTTAGTTCTTTACCTTATCAAAGACATAACACACTTGCCATTTGATCCATTTCCAAGGAATAATTGTAGAGACTGAATCGTTGTCCTAATCTTTATACTTTCTATCTTGTACTTGATACATGAAATCCTCCGTACCTGAATTTCGTCCAGTTCCTGGGTCAGTTTCTGAGACTCAGGGCCAGGGATGCTGGTCCGCAGAATCGGACCCCTGGGCTCCTCACAACCTGCGGTCACATACTGGGGGGCGTCGACTGCTGTATGCTGGGACACATAACGCAACCTTGAGGCTAAAAGAAGACGACAAATGGGTCTTAGGCAATTTAAATCATAAGCTTCATTTGAAAAATTAATTATATCGAACCTGAATTAGTTCTGGGTATACTATTATAGTATAGATATTACATGACAATGATGTAAATATAATGTAACTTTATAGTAAATTAATTAAAGTCTAGCTAAAATTGAACATGTATATCTAATTCAACATTTAATGTATTTAACCTTTGGTGTAATTAAATCTCATCAGATGTCAGGGACATTATGTGTCATACTGGTCCATGTTAATTTTAAATAACATTAAGCATTTAAAAATAACTCGC